GGGAACGGGAATGGGGACAGGAATGGGAACAAGAATGGGAATGAGAATGGGAACGGGAATGGGAATGGGAATGGGAATGGGAATGGGAACGGGAATGGGAACAGCAATGGGAACAGCAATGGGAACTGAGCAGTGGAAGGTGTTAACCTGTCCTGACGTTCTCACCAGCAGGGGAGGGGAAGGAGGATGAAGAGCTGGAGGCTCCGGAGGCTCCGTCAGCTGGGAAGAGCCGAGGCACAGCAGCAGCAGCAGCCGGAGGGTGGGCATGGGGAGTGGTGTTCCACTTCTTCCTGGTAAGGGGGAATGAAGCAAACCCTCCCCGAGCTGGGGCTGGGGGGTCTCAGAGCACGGGACAGGCTGACCCAACCATCCCAGGCACACCCCAGGCACACCCCAGGCACGCCATTCCCTTTGGGATGCCTCCTGTAAATGTCTCAGTGACTGACAGGAGCATCCCCTTGCCAGGATTATTTTCCCTGCTCAAACACATCCCCACAGGGGTGTCAAACCCCAAAGGACTGTCCTGTCCCTTCAGCAAGGGCGTGACCCCACCTCGGGCAGTGAGGTGGGAGCCACTCTCGGGTACTCCCTGGGAGGACCTGGCACCTCAACACCACTTAAAGCCACGAATTCCCTGTGCTCTAGGATTCAGTGATGAATCAAGGAATTGTGAAGCTTGGAGAAGACCTTTAAAGTCACTGAGTCCAACTGTAAAGAAGGCACCATCCCCCCAAGCTAGGAAAGTTTCCCTCCCTTCAAATCCATCCGGAGTAACTCGCTGCCAATCATTAACCACCTGCCACAGGGAGACAACAGGAGTTAAAATTCAGGACACGAACTGTCTGTCCTTTGCCCCTGAGGTAGAGAAATCCTGGGAAACTGTCCCAGTTAACATTCATCCCCGCTGCCCTCATCCCCTCATCACCTCTCAGTGATCTCCAAACGGATCCATTTTGACTATTGCTGCAGTACAAAAAAGTAACTTCAAAGGTAAAAGCATCCTACAAGAGCTGAGCTCTAGGGTTGCTTTGTTCCTTTCGTTTGGAAAATCAGTTTGCAGAGGGTTTTCTGAGGATCTGCAGCATGGCCACGACCAGCCCACCCTGGCTGGCATTCCCCAGCACCAAGTTCAAGTGTCCCGGTTTGTTCCTCCCACACCACCACAAAAGAAGCAGAAGGAAAAGCTTTTCCTCCCTTCCCAATGCCCTGTGGCACCTCACCTCCACCCCCTCTCAACTCAGGTCAATGTGCTCGTGATGGGGATGCTGAAGACCTTTGGGATCTTCTTTGTGGCTTTCCAAGAGGAGGTGGGGGGATCTTCGGAGCAGGTCAGCTGGATCGGCTCCATCATGTCCTCCCTGCGCTTCCTCGGAGGTGAGATGCTGTCCCAGGGCTTGGGGCACGGCTGCAGCCTCTGTCTGCCCTGGGGGCACTGAGGGGGCTCTGTGCATCCAATTCCCATCCCAGACTGCTCCAAACTGGACGTGGCTGGCACCCACACGTGCCTGAGCAGGAATAAATGTACTCTAAATACTGAGCCATTCAGATGGGATAGGGGGAGGAAGTTGGAAATTGGGAAGAAATCCTTTCCTGGGAGGGTGGCACAGGGTGCCCAGAGCAGCTGTGGCTGCCCCTGGATCCCTGGGAGTGTCCAAGGCCAGGCTGGATGGGGCTGGGAGCAACCTGGGATGGTGGAAGGTGTCCCAGCCATGGCAGGGGTGGGACTACATGAGCTTTAATGTTTCTTCCAACCCAGACCCTTCTGGAATCCCTGAACGTTGCTGTAGATTTATTGTACAGCTCCAGAGCAAACAACACTCTTGTCCCAGCTGTGGAATATTTGGAGCTGCTGGGCATGGTGTGATTGAGGAAGGAGGCTCAGGAGAGCTGAACCTTTGGGCTTTGCCTCCTTCCCTGCCCCACTCCCTGAGCTCCCAGGGTACAGGCAAAGCCTCTCTCCTGAACATTAACCCTTCCCCGTCACCCCCTGCCACCCCCTGCCTCCCGAGGCTCCCCAGGGGTCCCAAAGCAGGCTCTGAGCCCTCAGGCTGACCGTGTCCCCGTTTCCCTTGCAGCCCCGCTGGTGTCCGTGGTGTGCCAGCGCCTGGGGGAGCGGCCGGTCTCCATCCTCGGCGCCGGGCTGGTGGCCGGGGGCTGCCTGCTCAGCACTCAGGCCACCAGCGTCCCCTTCCTCTGCTTCTCCATGGGATTCCTGCTGGGTGAGACGGGCAGGAGCAGGAAATCAGCTCCTTCAGCCTTGGGGAAGGTCTGCAGGGGGAGCAGCCAAGGGGTTGTTCAGCTGGAGGAGCCTGGGGTGATCAGGGACAGGACCCAAGGAAGGAGCTGTGTTGGGTTTGGGATGGGTATCAGGAAAGGTTCTTCCCCAGAGGTGCTGGCACTGCCCAGGCTCCCCAGGGAATGGGCACAGCCCGAGGCTGCCAGAGCTCCAGGAGAGTTTGGACAGCGCTGCCAGGGATGCACAGGGTGGGATTTGGGGTGTCTGTGGGATTGGACTGGATGATCCTGCTGGGTCCTTCCCACTCAGGACATTCTGTGCTTCTGTGAACCTTCAGTGCCAAAGCATCCCCAGCTCCTTTCTGTGAGACTGTGTGAACTCCCAAAGCTTCATGCTCAGAATAAAACACCAGTTTCAATATTCCAGTCCCAACTAACCTTGATTTTTTTTTTCCTGGACCTACACAGATCCTGGCCTTTTAAAATCCCTTATAAAAGGGCAGAGCCCCCAATCCCCCAGACACCAAACCCCACCCACCAAATCTTGCTCTCCCCTGACTGTGAGAGCAGAAATCTTCTCCTTTCAGCCTGGGAATGCTGCAGAGCCAGGGACTGCCAGCTTGGGATAGCAGGACAGCAATCCCTACACGGGAACCCCTTTCTGGGACTGCAAGGGGTTTGTGCCTTCCCTTGGCCTCGGTGGGAGTTTCTGAGGAGGAGATCTCCGGGGTGGGTTTCTGCAGCCTGCACAAGGCAGATTTGCTGGGTCAGAGACATCTCTGCCATGGGACACCACGAGCCTCTGTGCTGGGAGCCTCTTATTCCCATTTTTCCTCTCCACAGGGATGGGTTTTTCCTGATGGAGTCTCTCTGTGGTGGGAGCCTCTTATTCCCATTTTCCCTCCCCACAGGGATGGGGTTTTCCTGATGGAGTCTCTCTGTGGTGGCAGTCTCTTACTCCCATTTTCCCTCTCCCCACAGGGATGGGGTTTTCCTGATGGAGTCTCTCTGTGGTGGCAGTCTCTTACTCCCATTTTCCCTCTCCCCACAGGGATGGGCTTTGCCTGCCTGTACCAGGCGGCCGCGGTGATGACGGCCAAGCGCTGCCGCGCTCGCCTGGCCTTCTGCAGCGCCCTGGCCCGCTCTGGGATGGGGCTGACCTTCCTGATGGCTCCCTTCACTCAGCTCCTCCTCGAGGCCTACGGCTGGCAAGGTGAGGCATCTCCTGTTCCTTCCCATCCATCACCTCTGAGAGGGAATCTGGGGAGATCTGGAGGCTCCAAGAGGCTCTTCTTAAAAATTCAGCACACTGAGGAATAACTCTGCCTCTTCTAGGATAATCTGGGGACATCTTGTTAATAATTAAACATTTAATCACTCATTAAAATCAAAGCACAGACCTCAGAAATCGAAACCAGAAATCCCTAATTTTACTGCAGTGATTCAAGACCATCTTGAAGGTCCATCATGACTTTAAATGAGGAAAAGCAAAACAGATCCCAGAGATAGCTGTGGATTTGTTCTGTGCATCACAGCAAAATTAACTTCCAGCTAGACAAACAGGAATAAATATCCCTGTTTTGTTAACTCCTCCATAAGGAGACAGCAAACTCCCTTCTCATGGCAGAACTTCCTCCATAGTCAGTGAAAACCACACCTTGTTCCACAAAGGCCATTTCCTGCTGCTCCTCTCTTTCCAATCAAGAAAAAAAACACTTTTTCCCTTCCCTCAGGTACTCTGCTGATTTTTGGAGGCATCATGCTGAACCTGGTGCCTTCCAGCATGTTGCTGTGGCCCGTCAGCCCCCAACCGCCCCGGGAATCTGCCAAAAATCAACACCAGGGCTCTTCAGTGGCAAAGAAGGACCCAGAAACTCCTGGTGGATGTTCAGATGGAAGCAGTCCCAGGGAATTACAGCTTCTCTGTGAACAGGAGGCTCCCACCACAGAGAGACTCGTGGTGCCCCATGGCACAGATGTCTCTGAGCCAGCAGATGCGCCTGCCTTGGGAAGGTTGCAGAAACCCACCCTGGAAATATCCTCAGAAACGCCCACCGAGGCCACGGAAAGCCACAAACCCCTCACAGCCTCCAAAAAGGAACCTTCTCAGCCTCTCCTGGACTTCTCCCCACTGAAGGATCCCGTTTTCTTCGTTTTCACCTGGTCTTTCCTGTTCAGCCACTTGGCCTATTTCGTGCCCTTCTTCCACCTGGTGGCGAGGGCCAGGACGCTGGGCATGAGCAGCAGGGACGGCTCCTACCTGATCGCCGTGGCTGGTAGGCACAGGGATCCTTCACCCCCACAGCTCGCACAGAAACACCCCCAGCTCTGCCAAAAAACGGCCCCAGATTGTCCTGGCACGGATTCTCCTGGCACAGGTTGAGTCCTCACCCCACCGGGGTGCTTCTCCCGGTGCCAGTGGGTGATCCCACACCCTCCCTGCTCCCACAACCCCAAATCTCTGCCCACCACGATCCCTGCTGTGCTCAAAGCCACAAGCCACCAGAACCCAGGGGTGCAGCCAAAACCCTCCAGTTTGACCCAAAAGGGAGAAATTCAATATTGGGGGAAAACTCCCTACATGAATGTGGATCCAGGGATTTGGATTTGGCACATCCACCTCCAAGTGGGGAATAAATAAGGCACATTCCCAAAATCCCAACCCATGCCCAGATCCAGGCATTTGGATTTGGCACATCCACCTCCAAGTGGGGAACAAACAAGGCACATTCCCCAAAATCCCAACCCATGCCCAGATCCAGGCATTTGGATCTGGCACAACCACCTCAAAGTGGGGAATAAATAAGGCACATTCCCAAAATCCCAACCCATGCCCAGATCCAGGGATTTGGATTTGGCACA